GGCTTGCAACTTCCAATTTGCTCCAACTGGAGTGACCTCTGCTCAGTGATTTTGCAGCTTTGAAACTCCCTCTATTATATATGTATGTAAATTATGTTGCCACCTTTATACAAGTGCTGAGAGCCCCAGTTACTATTTGAAAGCAGTCTGGAATAGGTAGATGAAAGGTGTAACAGACGTACAGAAATACGTGTTTTACTGATTTAGCATTCATCCATTTACTCAAGAGAAAGGTCAAGATTCCTGGTACAGAATGTTTAAATAACTACTCAGATGTTATGACACATACAAAGAACAGACGGATCACAAGATGAAAGTTAATGATGATGACTATGGGAAGCATTACATAACTGCAAGTAAGTATTTAGAAACGTTTTCTCAACTGACATCAGAGCAACTCTGAAGAAAATATCCAGTATGGAATCCTTCAAAGAAATACTTTACTTCTTGTCCAGGACTTCAAGGAAGCAACTGCAAGATTATCAAAGCATAGCACTAAAGCTTGAAAAACTAAACAAACAAAACCAAAAATCTACCATACCTGGGTGTTTTTCTTGAATGATGAATGCAAAATACTAAATGAGCATTTTATAATACTAAATGAGCGTAGACGTGCAAAGACTGGAACCCATCATTAATTCTACACAAGAGATCAGAATCTGTAGTATTGTTTACAGAAATGTGAGACAGCAATTACATGTGTACTCAGCAATGCATTGTGTATTTAAAATCATTAGCATCCCATGCTAATTTGAGTAGCCTTTCTAATAAAAGCTAAAAGCTTCTTTCAAAGTTTCAACCTGTTGAACATAAGCAAATCCACATATTTTAGACAACAGGCTAATCTTTGATACTCGATGTATGCCATGATTAACTTCATGAAGAGATTTCATGCATGTAACGGTCCTTTTAAGTGCTTAAATAATATCACAAGCAGGGAACAAAACCAAAGGAATTGTGTTAATGTTTACAGGTTATCATCACTAGACCCAGGAACAAAGCCCTTTGGCTTGATTCCAGCCTAGTTGCTGTTCAAGTTATTTTTTGTTTCTGTTGTTCCTTTAACGAGATCTTGTTTAATCTCTAGAGAAGATTACCTATTGCATAATACTTGCCTACCATGCTCCCCCAAAACAAAGACACAAGGACTTTAAAGACAACAAAGCACAGACTTACATGGTTAAGAGCATCAAGTGCATCTAAAAGAATCAGAGCAACTACTGGGCTGGCAAAGATCAAGAAGAGAAAAAAGTAATTCTCCAGTAAGGCAGGGTGTTAGAAGACAGACAGCAAACCAACAGGGACTGACAGACTAGAAGTGTTCCTCTTAACAAAAGAAAGAAGATGCCTCCAGAAAGGCTTTCTGTGGAACCTACTGAAGAGAGCAACTTCAGTATTTCCCTCTTGGAAACAAGTGCTGTTTAACATCTGTGCTGGTGACAAGGACAGTGGGATGGAGCGCACCCTCAGCAAGTCCGCTGACAACACCGAGCTGTGTGGTGCAGTGACACGCCGGAGGGCAGGGATGCCACCCTGATGGACCTGGATAGGCTGGAGGCGTGGGCCCATGCAAACCTCATGAAGTTCAACAAGGCCAAGTGCAAGATCCTGCACATGAGTCTGGGCAATCCCAAGCACAAATACAGGCTGGGCAAGGAGTGGACAGAGGCTGGAAATCTGCTCCTGTAAACAAACAAAAGCCTACAGCTTCTCCAAAAGCTTACTCTATAGTTGCTAGAGAAAACTCCTTCCAACACATTCACTGCTTTTAGTTTGAAAGCAGTAATGTGCTGCTTTCACACAGCACAAAGCCTTCCTAACAGTGGGCGGCAACTCTGAGTTTTTAACAATTGCCCAGGAAACTGCATCCTCAGACTAAGCAACGTACATACGGTAAACCTTCACTTTGTCTCTTATCTAACTTACTTCATCCAGCAAAAACATCCATGGTCCAACAGTGGGCCCTGGAAGGAGCTCGTGGAACAATCATCATGCTCATGCTATTAATCAAAAGGCACACAGAAATGGACCAACTCCCTGACTCTCCTCTTTTGTAACAAATGCATATGGATTGTTTTTCAAGTTAGGTAAGAAAAAGATGTTCCTATACATTTTCAAACTGCACAAAAAAGTCTTTTCTCTATAGGCTAAATGTTTCTCATACTGTGAGTTAATCAACAGGAAGAGCTGTACACTTCAGACATCAGGATCTAACCAGAACAACACTTGTCTAAGTAATCCAGTCACATCTGTTACCAACAGCAATCCCAGATAAAGAATCCAGAACATCAGAGCTCAGTTTCAAGTTACACAGCTTTACACCACATGTATGTTTCTATCCCCTTCCATCCATACAACAGCTTCGAGGGAAAGTCAGGTAATGGAAACACCCAGCATGAAGAAATCCATCAAAACATCTAACTCCAACATGTATTTGAGGAAACAGAGATGGAAACACAGAACCTGAAAGGAGCCCTCTCAGGCAAATCAGGTAAATTCCTGTTATGACAGGCAGGCTAACTGTCACTTCTGTGACTTATCCTTGACCATATGCCATCTATTTTCTCTTCCAGAGGTTTCCTCTTGTTAATTCCTATTATATGACTTTGTAATGCACTCCATTTCTATCATTCCAGCCTTCCTTATCACCCAGCTCTTGCACAACATTCCACTCTTCCTTTATAACACCAATTGTTCAAGTCTGCTCATCACAGTTAGATTTTACTATGTTAATAATGCCAGCACCACTTACATGGGCCCAAATTCAGTGCAAGCATCTTTCAAACCAGCAGTTCCTCCCCTGATACAAATCTGTTCCTGATTCCTCTCCCTTCTACTGTCCCTTACCCAAGTATCAGCTCTTGTACTAATTCGCCAGTATCTCCACCTTAAAAAAAACAACCAACTTTTTTTTTTTTTTTTTTTTTTTTTTTTAGTGCTGTGTGATCTATTATCAAGTTCCAGGCAGATTCAAGCTACTCTGTTTCTTTTACAGAGAAAGTAAAACAATCATTTATCCTTACAAAAGACGTAGGTCAGTCAGGCATGATCTATCTTTAGTGAATGCCCACAGGACTCAGTCTACTTAGTTTCATGTTGTTAATTAATTCTTTCCTTCACAAATTCTCTAGAGCCTTGCATACTACTGATGTCAAACTCATTAGGCTATAGCTGTGCAACTCCCTGCCTCTGAATCTTTTAGGAAATTATTTTTATAGTTCAGTAACAAATCTGCTAAGTCAGTGGTAGAATGTATTTAAAATTAAATTTCTGGTTAGATTTCCTTTAGGAAGCCTGGCTGTTTGTGGTTCCACCAACTGTCATTATATTCCTGCAGTTCTTGTGACACAACTACCCTGTCCCCTTCCCCAACCACCTTTCTCTCCAACTTCCCTTGTCCATTTCTTGAGATGCTTAAAGAAAACTTTGGTTGAGAGGTATTCCAACCCTACTTTTTGACAACACTTGAATATTTCTACAAACAATTTACTGGCAGCAAGATAAATTAACTGCTACTAACTTATAGATTGGGGTTTTTTACATTTGTTGGTTTGGTTTTGTTTTTTTTTTTTTTTTTACTTTGCATCAACACTGCATGTTACAAGAAAAGAAAGACAGGCCCCAAAAGAACAGAAGCAACAAAAGCCACCTCCGCTTTTGTCTCCAAACCCATGCCTTTTCCAAGAGGCCAACAACAAGGTGAGGGCAAAAACATGTTCTTCCTCCTACAGACACCCAACTAATGCTCACCTCCTATCGGTCTTTGGCATGAAAGTCACTAGATAAATATTGCAAACCATGCAGCCTAGATGACTGAATTCCTTTGTAGGAACTGATCCTTCAAACATCCACACAGTGAGCAGCCCTAGACACCCTGAGGGGAAAGGATGCATTACAAAACCCTGCAGGTCTTTCAGAGCTAAAAAACGGAAGAACACCTCTATTAAGTTACTGCACTTCTGCTTCAGCCTCTGTTGTTAGGAGGAATTGTTTTACATGTTACCATGCTGTGCTTGTTTCGTTTCCTGAAGCATTAACAAAGATTAATTTAACTCTCTGATACCTCGTATGAAATGTGTTCGTGTCTGACCATTTCTTGTATAACAACAGCCATCCCATTCGTTATTGTTTTGGCAATTTTTGTAAAGACTAAGAACATTCCATGGAAGAAGACTCATTGCAAATCTAACACTATATCTACCTGCTCTTGCCACAGCAAAGCAACTGTGAGTGCAGCTCAGCTGGGCCACAACATCTCCTGTTTCAAGGGTTAAAAATAAAACAAAATAATCAGAGTGAAATTACACAACATAAAATTATTCTACCTTACAAGCCAGACAAAACAGCCAAGCATTTATGGAAGAAGGGAAGAGTCACACAAAGAAAACTTAAATCAAAAGGGGACTTGCACCCTGGGGCGGGCGGGCTGTTTGTGTACAAGTTGTGAGAGTTCAGCGCGGTGCTGCCCGGCTGGGCCGGCTGGAACGGGAGGTAGATTTAAAAAATAATTTGTTTTCCTCTGCATTCCCTGTCCTGAACGCATTAAACCCGCACCACTCGCAACGAATAGGGGTGCCGCGACTTGAGCTGCCCCCCAGCACCTCTAGGAAAGCGGGGGTGCTGGGGGGGGGGGCGGGGTTCAAGCAAGTCACCTCGGCGGCCCAGCGAACACCCGCGGCCCGGAGCCGGCTGAGTCACGGCCCCGCCGCCCCGGGCTGCGGGAACCCCCCGGCCCCCTCCGCGGCGGGCAGCGGGAGGCCGCGGGCAACCGGGGCCCTGCCGAGCTTCGCCGGTTTCAAACCGCTCCTTTACCCGTTCCCCACCCCGAGGGAAACCACAGCCCCCCCCCCCCCCGCCACCACCCGCCCCCCCCCCCGCCACCACCCGCCCCCCCCCCCCCCCGCGGCCGGGCAGGCGCCGCTCCGCGCTGAGGGGGAGGGGACCCGGGGGAGGAAGCGGAGGGGAGAGGCGGAGGCGGGTGGCACGCGCGCCCCCCTCACCTGGCAGCCCTTCTTGTGGTGGAAGCCCACCACCACGATGTGCAGCACCGGGCCCCGCGGAGGGGCGGCGGGCGGCGGCGCGCCCCGCTTCTCCATGGAGCCCCGGCGAAGGCCGCTCTGGAAGATGCCGCCGTGCCCGGGCTCTCGCTCCGCCTCCCGCCGCCCGGAGCCCGGCGGGGACGCGGCCCCGGCCGCCGCCGCCGCTTCCGCAGCGCCCAGACCGGGGAGGGCGGGGCGACGCCGGCAGCTCCGCCCCCCGCACCTCCTCCTGCCGCCTCGCCCCGCCCCCTCGCCTAGCTCCGCCCTCCCCCGCGCGCGTAGCCGGGGCGGGGCTTCGCCGTGGCCCCTCCCCTCAGAGGAGCCCTCAGCCGAGGGCGGGAGGTAGTGGTGTTCACGGCCTGTTGCGCTTCGCAGGGAAGTCTCCAGAAAAATCTCCCTTCGCCGAAGGGACTCTTAGGGAAAGAGACTTCGTTTTATTCTCCGGCCAGGAAAACACACCGCGGCCGAGCAGTGGAGTCGCCCGAGCCTGGGCAGCCCCGCTGGAGGCCATCCCGCCAATCCTGGTGGGCTGCGAGCAGGGCCGATGACGGTGCCTCCTTCTTCATTTTTTTTGAGAAAATCTCTCAGAGCGCCCCCCCGAAGCGCAGAGGACGGCACATCCTCGGACTGCGTACTCCCAGCGTGAAGTCGTGTAGATAAATGACGGCGTACAATGAAGGCTGGGGTGGTTGCAGTCCCGGCGCATCAGGTTGGTCGCTGGGTGTTAAAAATGAGAAAAATCAAGGCTTCCATTAACACTCTTCTGCTGCTGAACATACATGACAATACTTTCGAAACACAGTTCAAAGACTTGTCCAAGAGCACAAGCAAATTTAGTGTGAGAGGAAAAAATCTTTAAAATTTTTATCTTACTGCACTTAGATTGTGTTCTCTCTTTAACCTTTGTTATGATTCAATTCTGGTTATTTAAATCAACAGCATTTGCTAGAGGCTGTACTCTTTAATGATGATTCTCTGTGGAAATTGAAGGAAGATATTCTTTTTGAAAGAACTATAAAAGAATAGTGCTTAAAGAAAATCTCATCTCTACCACAATAGCCAGATGCTCAGATTATAACAATAAAGCATGTGATTACACATTGTTCCTCAGCTCCAACAGAAGTGCCATTATAGAAAAAGTACACTGTTGGGAGCACAGGATAAGCTACAAGGAACAATCCAGCTCTGGCAAGTGAATGATTTCTTGTTAGTTTTAGCCAGTAACTTACTTTTTAATATCTCAAATAAGAAAAAGGTATGAAATATTGGCCATTATCACCTGCAGTAATGAGTTAACCCCCCAAAAGATACATGGAAATGTTTATAGCTCATACTCGGTTCATAGAGGAAAGTGCAGTCTGGCATCACTCTCACTGCTATGGATTTTGCATTAAAGGCATCTCAGTGATGCAGCTATATAATTGTGGGTTGTAGCTTCTCTGAATAGATTATTAGGGTGGGGGGTTTTCTGCTTGAAATTTTCTTTCCTGCTAAGGCAATAAAAGCATTGGATTGACAACATGAGCCTGTTCCAGGAAAACTAAATGGTTGACATCATCTGTGTTTTTTTTTTTTTCACAGCTCACACTGCGTGTATTTATGAGAAAGGAGAGCTGCTGCAAAATAGAAGTTCTTGGAAAACTCTCAGAATTTTCCAAAAGGAATTTTCTTTCTCAGTGCGTAGCTAACAAATAGCAATGAAAACAACCCTACAGTTCTTCTATTATTCAGAGGTAATATTTTACTTAAGAACCACCAGTTATTATATCATTACCATAGTAATTGTAATTTTTTAGTCATTCTTCATTTCATAACACTAACGAGGAGTTCTCAGCTTGGCTTATGTGCAGCGAAACTTCTTGAGATGGATAAGCTTTACCTGGTCAATATGATGGTTTATGTCTGGAAGTAACATCAGAGGTGAGCTGGTAGCTCTGCAGCATTTGTTAGGTATAGCCCAGCTTCTTAAAGAACAAAATTGTGAATTTGTGGAGACAAGCATGTGAATAAAAAGTAATCATTCTGGGATTTCTGTTGAAGAAAAGCATAAATGGAGTCCTGGCACGGATCTGAGATTTGTAACTAATTTCTTCTGGATGGCAATCTCACTCTGTTTGAAGTGGATTTTTTTCTGAAGCTCTTGTCCTCAGTTTTAGAAAAACTGAGTTGTATGCATTAAGGATCATAACACTGGGTGGGATTATGATACCTCACTTGGAAACTTCTGTAAATGAAATAGGGAGGAGAAAAGACTACAGAAGTATTGATCGGTCATAAATTTAAGGAAAGTCTTACAGTATTAAAAACTGGAGAACATTTTACAAAGATAAAAATCTTAGATACGAATATAAAAATATAAAAAGATACCCATTAGTTAAGTAAACAAACAAATGAAAATAGCATTAAGAAGAAAGTGATTATTTTATGTGAAATACAGAAAAAAGCAGTAAGGCAAGAGAAGGAGTCACTGCCATGTGAAGGGCCACCCACGTTCATTATGGTGAAAGAAGGTGCATGAGAAATTCATTAATGCGATGATTAGGATAAGTTTGTAGGTAAAATGACCGTAGTGAATTTTTGCTCATTTGAGTTGGAGCACCATGTACAGTGCAGGTTCAAAACCATACCCAATTGCTAATAGCCTGTCGAGTTTCAGCACAACTTGAGCTTTGCTGCTTGTGCAAGGTTGCTTAGCTTTTCTCTCTGGTGATGAGAGAAAAGCTAGAGCCGCCTTGGCCTTGCACAGAGAACTGCTGGGGATCAGCCGTGACGCTCTACAAGCACACAGGACCAATTTGATCTTTGCTACAGGCTCTTCAGGGGAGGGCTCAGGGTGAAGGGTATGTAGGTATTTCTCCTCCATCAGTTGATTCCCACAGACCTCGAGCAGTGTAAAAGCTGTTGAAAGTACAGCATCAGTTAAGGAGGAAAGGGAGGTGGTTTTCTTTCCTCCACAGTGAGTAAATGACAAACAGCCTGCAAACAGAAATCTTGCTGCCTGTGGTCGAAAGAAATAAAACTAAGCTGGCTGTGAAGGTGTTGCTGGTGACTGTTTGCTGTGCCTGTGCTGCCACAGTGACAGTAGATCCCAGCGTGCCCCTTTTTCCCGTGTCATTCCAGTCCTCTGCTTTCACGGCTTGTGTACATACAGAAGGCAATACCAACTTTTAAACTATCCACTGATGTTGTGGATAGGGGAAGGTGTCATCTCCACTCTACTAGTTTCCCTTCTTCCTTTGGCTTGAACTTTTTTGTCAAGGTCACTGTGCAGACCACATCTTTCGAGGATTATTTATCTTTTCTTTGGGTGAGATTGTTACTAGCTTCATGGGGTAGAGATCAGCTGCCGTTATTTTACAGAGCAAGGATCCCAAGCAAACAAAAGTGACCAGCAATATGAACAGTCCATGACACACAAAGCACTTTCCTCACTACCCACAATTTTTTCTTTTCCACAACACAGTTAGAAATGCATATGTTTAAGCCCAGAGCAGTTTGGAAGATAGTCATGCCCTTGAGAGGGGATATGCGAGACAGTGGACACACACACACAAGGCCAAAGGTGATCTGCACAACTGCTCAGGCCACTGAGTGCAGAAAAGTTGGGCCTTGCCCCAAGTGAAGTGAGATCATGTAAGGCCTGACTGGTGGTGACACAGGTCCCGAGTTTACTCAGATGTAATAACCTCAAAGCCTCATAGCATCAAGAGAAGACAAGGATTCTTGTGCCAGGTCAGGCACTGCAGTAGCAAAGGGAGCATCTGACTCCCCAGCAACCAGCCAGGGCCTTACAGGGCCTTGGGAGTAGCTCCCTTACCTGCAGGTTTTTCCATTTCTGTGGCAGGCTTCTCTAGCATCAATTTATGCACAGATGCTTTCATAACTGAGCTGAAGAATTTCTCTCACGCTCAGATTGTTTCCCCACATTTCCTTCTGTTCACACTCGAATTTTCTGGGCCATTTAGAGCACATTTTTTTCATCAGAGAAGTTGAAGGGCATTCTCAGTTAGTTCAGGAGGGTAATATCTTGAAAGTACTTCTCTGCAGGTGCACATTAGCAGCAAGCCCTCTTTTGGAAAGTCTACAAAGTAGGACTTTCTAGCGGGCTGAAGCTATTACAGCTGACACAATATGAAGAGAATGATAACATGATGTGAAACAAATGATAAATTTGATCTAAAAGCAGACATGCTATGCCTGTGAGCTTTTTTCTTGTCTCAGTTATAACTAATCTGACCGTTTCTGGCTCTGGATTTTATTGTTTACTTACATCAGTGTTTTTAGTGTTTGTTTCATCTTTACTGAATTTTTAAATTACTGCCTCATTTTCCCCCATTTTATTTTTTTTAATTTGAGTGCTAGAGAAAGTCATAAAAGGCTAAGAAGAAAATAAATACTTAGTTATAGTTAGCACTTTTTTTTTTTTTTGGCATCACAGTTAACCCAGTTGCAGGAATTGTTTCAGGCAAGGAAAACTCTCCTCCATAGAGCTGTTCTGAAAATTTGCAAGTGGCCCGTGATGACCGAGGAGCGAGGCTAGGACTCAAAGTACAGAATTACCAAGTTAAATATTTATTAATGCGCATGAGGTGTCCCAGCCAGATTGGGGCACCTCAAATGTGGTTTGACACAGGGTTCTTAGAGCCTTGGAGCATTCAGGTACGACACGATTTGAGTATTCGCCAACACCCATACTACAGATTACTAGTCGCAGTAAAACTTTGCAAAGCACCTGTGTATCTGCAGCATTCTTGCTGCCTGTCTCTTGATCCAGATGTCCCTGGACTCAGTCTTGTGATAGTTACTTATGGTACTGGACAATGCTGGGAGGGTTTTGGAGAAGAGCTAGAGGGGCTAGGATGCTGGTGCTATTTTGGTCACCATGGGGTGTCTTATCCTTCATGGGCAGCTCTAAGCTTTTAGGAAGCCAAATCCTTATATCAAGGTCTGGTCTGTCCTTTAGTTTTTTGGTGAGAAACCTGAAGAAGTGTTGCTGCCAGCAGGTACTGTGTGATGGAGCATAGGACAGAGAGGTGCAAGATAACAAGGCGTAGCACATCTCCTGCTATGTCTTTGAGGCTAGTTTCAACAACTGTAGACCCGCTTACGCTCGGGAATAACCTTTTGTGCATGTGGTCTGCCTTTCTGCACTCCCATGATTGCCACGGTAATGCTGCTTTCAATTCTGAATCCAGACCTGGATGCTCTTCCCTGAGGAGTAACATGCTTCTGTGCCTT